ACCCTCCTCAGACCAAGTACGTGAGTAAGGGAATGAAAAGGAAACATGGGATGCAGAAGCTCTCACGCCTCAAGTTTTTTCCCAGAGCTGAGCTGGTGTCACAGCCAGCGCTAACCTTCCCCTCAAGGGTTTTCAAAACAGCCCAATAACAAATTATTTTAGACTGTATCTCTTCTGTAATTAGAGTGGTCTGTTGCTGTCGCTGCTACCTTCCTGTTGGGTGGGGAGGAAAAGGGGCAGCAGGAGTGATACTGGGTAATCTCTCTGCTATTATTTTGTTGTTAGATTAGGATGTTCTGCTGATAAAACTACATCAGGGATAACATATCAAGCCTTGTTGCAGGCTTGACAGAAACAACCCATTTCCCAGCCTGATTAATTAGAAACAGCATTCTTAGTGATCAATATAGTTCACTCAGTGCCTGCTCTTTCTTCAAATATTTTCACACACACACACACATTCATACACTGTTCATGCCACTTGCAATATTTATCTTGCTAGACTTGTTTAAGCCATCATTACTCACAGGAGAAAGCAAACATCACAATTTCAACCCTTGACAAAATGAATCGACAAAGATGCCTACATAAACCCAGAAACTCATTTCAGACACAGATGTGTGTGAATATTTGGAGCAATGCTACTAAACTGTGTCAAGGAAGAAGGTGATGTTTGCAGCTTTCCCGGGTCACCCCGGGCTCACCATGTGTTAACCTTACCTGTCCTGCTGCTCTCAGTACCTCGGTGCACAAAGGAACGACTTTTGACTTGTAGAAATAGAAAGCTTCTGCTGCCCCCAACAGATTTGGCTCAACTTTAGTGGCTGGGGTCTGGAGATCAGGGCAGTGTCTTTTCCAGATGGGCAGAACTGTACTTGGAGACACCTTCCCCACCACTGTGCTGGATTTACTGCAGCCTTTCCCCCCTGCCAACTAACTAACCAAAGCTCCTTGGCTTTTAATAAAATTTGAGCTTTACCACTACCTTTCTTTCTATCTCCTAGGATCGATCACTATATCTTAAATCACTTAAATTTCATTTTGCCAGCCTTGCCCTTTTTGTTCCCTTTAAAACAGGCCAGCAACTAACCCACTAGCTGTATGAGACTGATGCACCTACATGCTTTACACTCTTCTTGTTTTAATGAGAAAAGTGTGTTACCAAGTTTCCTGTGCTCACATGCTATATTTGAGGGGATTTTAGAGGGAAGTCCAGATAATTGCCCACTGCACAGTTTAAATTAATTTATCCAGAAGTTCCCTGTGCCATCAAAGTAAGAAAAGGAGGGAAATCCCAATGAAATCTTCCTGCTTTTACTTCATGAAAATGAAGGGGACTTTGCAGGGATTTGAGTGATATATTACAGTAACTCACATCTACTGAGGTGGAAAATGTCTGTATTTAGGCAAATGTTATTACTTCTTCAGCGGGCTGTAGAAACCTAGAGAAGAAAGAAGGAAATGATGAAAAGGTCTGGAAATCAAGAGGGCTGCCCCTTTGGAAGAGAGGGAATAAATTAGAGCTGAGCAGGGAAAGGATGATATTGAAGTAGTAGGCAAAGACCACAGGTAACCTCAGGGCAGAAAAATACTCCAGACAAACCAATAGTGGAAGATTCAAATTATTTTTATATTTAGAGGAGAGCAAAGCACAAAAATCCCCTTCTGCCTTATTCTGTGTTCTAATGTCAACTGTTTTTTTTTTACAGGAACCTGGCTCAGCTCAGCAATCTTTGCCAAGCTTTACAAGGTTCTTTGTACATTACTTTCTCTGGAGCAGGTGGTAGCCAAAGTGACGTGGACTCTATGGTATGCTAAATCCTTTGAAGTTAGATAGAAAGGGAGTAAGTAGAGAGCTCTTGTTCTAAAATCTAGAGAGGTCTTTGTTAATATTTTTTTATTTATTTAGTTGTAATACACCCTGCATGCTGGTGGAAGTAGCCATTTAAAATTCCTTCTGTCATTAATAAGATTTATTCTTCATTCTTTCCTCTGCCTTCTGGGCAGACACATTCCACTATTAATATATTTCTTAATTCTTCCCTTGATTTCTGAGCTACTGACCTCTTATAAGCAGAGTCATTTGAGCCACTAACCAGCAAAACCTGTACAGGCTTAAGGCAAATGTATGATACAGCTGATCCAAGTTGTCATTATTTAGCAGTGAAAAGGAAAAAAAAAGGGTGAATGACATACATGTCAGTGACATAGATTCCATAAAACCAAACACAGCAGGTTTTACAGTATATACTGGCTGCTGAGGTTTATATCAGAACATCTGCTCTGCTGATTGAACTCCCTTGCTCTGCTCACAGAAATGAGCATATCCTCCCTTAATCATCATGTGCAGTGCATCTTCAAGTTGCAAATGCTCAAATGGGTCTACTAGAAGGTCTAACCTGGCTCAGGGGATCTGCCACCAGCTGTCATTTTGCTGTTGTTTTGGCCAGCCTGGAAGTGTGGAGAACAGACTTGGGAATATTTCCTTTCCCTGGCCCTTTGAAAGACCTCTTTCTCCAGGAGAGGAAAGAAGAAATTTTATCCAGTGCCAAATTTCCTTCATCAGTCCATTTCAACATCTCTTCCAGTAATCACAGTCAGGGTCCACTGCTGAACAACCCTGATAAAGTCATTTCATGTCATGGATGATATGAAATTGTTGTAATGGTGGTTGTAATTTCTGATACCAGAGATGGAGGTTGTTGGATACCAAAAGACTATTTGAAAATCCAAAGAGGAAAAGCACAGTGCTAATGAATTAATATTTTAATGGAGAAGACGTGGAATGTAATGCGTATGGAACACCTTTGGGAATAAAGGTTTGGGTCAGACCAAGGCTCGGGGCAAGTTTTTGGAGAGCTATCTCACTTGTGCCAGGCGCTGACAATACATACCCACTTCATAACTACATCAGGTTGTGGAGTCTTTATTTCCCATATTGCTTCACGATTTCCAAATGCTCTAAATTTGCATGGCATCATTTCTCCGTAGTCCTTAGGCAGTGATGCCCTGAGTTCAAAAGGTCCACTGATGGACACATCTGGATAGGTTTCCCATATAGACCCTAGGGCTTAGGATCTCCCGGGACATTGCTGGAAGGGGTTTAGGCAAGCTGCCCCTTGCTGAGACCTTAGTGTGTGCTCCTGAGCAGCCCATGGACCTCTGTGCTCCTGAGCAGCCCATGGACCTCTGTGCTCCTCTTATGGAGATGGCTGGTGTCTCTCCTTCCTCCCCAGGGCTGTGGAGCAGCTGGGCTGGGGTATCACTTGGACTCTCTCACCTGCTGTTACCTCTCCATCCTCCTTCATGGGAGAGCAGCCAAGCTCCATAGCATAGAGTCCACGTCACTTTGGCTACCACCTGCTCCAGAGAAAGTAATGTACAAAGAACCTTGTAAAGCTTGGCAAAGATTGCTG